AGACTGGACTCACAAACCTGGCCCAAGTGCACCCACTTATCCATGGCCAGAGTCAGGAATCTTCCTTCATTGTCACAGACACACATTGGCGTGCTATAGCCTCAGGCCATGAGAGAAGAGGCTGCTGACTAATGCTGTCTTACCGTCTGAATCAAAGCCAGCTGCCCTCACAGCTGGCCCTAACTTGAAGCGGCTGGACCTTGGCCACCACAGGGCAGCCCAGGACCCGGTTAAGGTTGTTGGGAAACCAGCTAAGAGTGGTTTTCCTTCGGTGGTTATTTTTTCAAGGCAAGGATGCAAGTCATTAGCCAACCAACTGAAGTTATTACCCCTTTTGAGGAAGGGACAGTGGCGCATCAAGCAAGATGGGCTCTTCAGTTTCATCCATCGCAAGTCTCACACCCTGGGGGCACCTGGGTGGCTTAGTTGTTAAGCGTCAGAGTTTGGTTCAGTTCATGATTTCACAGGTCATGGGTTCAAGCCCCGCACAGGGTTCCCCACTGCTAGTACAGAGCCTGCTTGGGATTCTCTCTCTTCCTCTCTCTGCCCTTCCCCCGCTGGCATGCTCACATGTGCTTTCTCAAAATAAATAAATATTAAAAAAAAAAGTCTCACACCTTTTTACCCCCAAAGTCTACACCAGATCAGTCTTCCAAATGGTTACTACTAATCTATTAGAACAAATAAAAACTTGTGGGCCTATATTCCCTTGATGTTTTTTTGCACTGTAAAGTTCCTACAGGCAAATATCATAGCTGTGAAAGACAAATGCGTAATTTTATAGAGTAAAAGTGTAAGAACTGTTTCTCATGAGGCAGGTTAGGTAGTGGGTTATTCGGATAAATCCTCTGGCTGAAAACAACTCTGGATAAATCACCTGAAGAGCAATGAGGAGTTGAAAGGACAGCGCAGTCCTGCCAGGTCAATTCTGGAAAGGAGTTTGAACCCAAAGAGGCCAGACGATTATTTGAGCGCCACGGTTGTTTTTGCCTTGGTGCGGAGCACATTCAATGTAAAGACTTACAGCATACCTTTCCCTGCAGTAAGTTGGGCTCTGAAGGGCTGCAGTCTCAGGGGAACCAGATGGACCAGAACTAATCCGTCACACCTCCTGTTCCTCTCCAACCCCATGGGCCCAGGAAGAAGGCTGCTCTGTACCTCGGCAGAGCAGAAGGAAAAGTAAGGGAGACAAAATAGTCTTGAGAAGATGTGACCACAGACCCACCCTCACGCACATTTCACCCAAGGAACATACAGCAGAAATGAGTCTGGTTTAAAGTGGTCCCCAACTTGTGCCCCTAAAAGGCAGCCAGAAGGCAGAAAGTACATTTATATTCCAAGCCTCAAGGAATCTCCACAAATACTTTTTAAAAAAAAATTTTTTTTTTTCAACGTTTATTTATTTTTGGGACAGAGAGAGACAGAGCATGAACGGGGGAGGAGCAGAGAGAGAGGGAGACACAGAATCGGAAACAGGCTCCAGGCTCTGAGCCATCAGCCCAGAGCCTGATGCGGGGCTCGAACTCACGGACCGCAAGATCGTGACCTGGCTGAAGTCGGACGCTTAACCGACTGCGCCACCCAGGCGCCCCTTCAAATACTTTTTTTAAGGGCAATAACCAGCCAAACAGTTAAAGATAACCAGATGCATAGGGAATAAGCAGCATGAGGAGGAACCAGTATAAATAACTGAGCACAGAAACATACCTGGACAGGCTTCAGGTACAGACTTATTAAGTTTATATACGCTTACCACATGCAAAAAGGAAATGACAAGTTTGTAAATATCAGCAGGGAAGGGAAAAAAAATGTAAAAAATTGGGGCGCCTGGGTGGCTCAGTCGGTTAAGCGTCTGACTTCGGCTCAGGTCATGATCTCACAGCTCACCGAGCCTGGAGCCTGCTTCGGATTCTGTGTCTCCCTCTCGCTCTGCCTCTACCCTGCTTGTGCTGTCTCTCATAAATGAATAAATGTTTTAAAAAATGAAAAAAAAAAATAAAAAATGACCCAGGAGATCTGGAAGAGAATCAAATGGAACTTGTAGAGAGGAAAAACTCAGTAACAAATTAAAACCTCCATAGAAGTGCCTGGCAGCAGGTTAAAAACAATAGAAGAGAGAATCAGAAACCAGAGGTTAGATCAGAGGAATCTTTCCTGAATACAGCCCAGAAAAGCAAAGATGTGGACAGCGCAGGAGAGTGGATTTACGATGTGGAAGACACAGTAAAAAGGTCCAACACACATTTCACGGGGTGGGGGCTGAAGGGGGTCTCTGAAGAGGAGGAGAGTTAGGACAGGACGGAGATAATACTGAGGAGATAAACTGAGGATTTTTCCAGAGCTACTGAAAAACACCACGAATTCAAAAGACCCGGAAAAGACTAAAAAGAATAAGTATAAAGGAATGCACACCTAGACACATCACAGTGATCAAAAGTAAGAGTAAAATCTTTTTTTTAAGTGTACTTATTTATTTTGAGAGAGAGGCAAGAGTATAATCTTAAAGAAATAATATAGATTACCTTAAAACAAACAATGGTAAGGCTGAGAAATGATGTCTCAGCATCAAAAATGGAAGCCAAAAGACAGTTGGATCATATATTTAATATGCTGAAACAAAATAATGACCAACCTATAATGTCATATATTCCCAGGCAGAGATAAATAATGGCCCCCAAAGACAGCCGGGACATCATTCCCGGAACCCGTAATGTTACCTTATATGGCAAAAAAGCCTTTGTAGCATCATTAAGTTAAGGATCTCCAGTTGGGCAGATTATCCTGCATTACGTGGGTGGGCCTGAAGGGCAGCCACAAGTGTCATCACAAGAGACAGGCAGAGGAAGACGTGACACAGAGGAGAAGGTGATGTGAGAGAAGAAGGCAGAAATGCGAAGATATTACAGTGCTGGCTTTGAAGATGGAGGAAGGAGCCGTGAACCAAGGTAGGCAAGAAATGTGGCTCTGGAGGCTGGAAAGGCAAGGAAATGACACTCCCCCAGAGACTCCAGCGGGGGTGGGGGGTGGGGGTGGGGGTTCAAAGCTCTGCTGACACTTGGATGTTAGCCCAGGGAAGCGAATTTCGAGCTTCTGGCCTCCAGGACTGTGTGAGAATAAATGTGTGTTGTTTTAAGTCACCAAGCTCATTGCAGCAGCCACAGGAAACAAATACAACTGCCAAAACCATCCTCCCACAATGATGGCGTTTTCAGGACCTCCCGAGCATACGGAACCTGAGAGGGCTCCCGACCAGCAAAAGAAATTCTACAGGTTGTCTGTCAGGCAGGTGGAAAGTGATCCCAGATGGAAAACTCGCAACACGAAAAGGAACGAAGAGTCAGGACAGTGAGGAATGCATGAACTCAATCAACAAATGTTGACTGGGTAGGACAAACTATTTGATGTTCCTTAAGATACACAGAATTAGGGGGCGCCTGGGTGGTGCAGTCGGTTAAGCGTCCGACTTCAGCCAGGTCACGATCTCGCGGTCCGTGAGTTCGAGCCCCGCATCGGGCTCTGGGCTGATGGCTCAGAGCCTGGAGCCTGTTTCCGATTCTGTGTCTCCCTCTCTCTCTGCCCCTCCCCCATTCATGCTCTGTCTCTCTCTGTCCCAAAAATAAATAAAAACGTTGAAAAAAAAAATTTAAAGATACACAGAATTAAGATACACAGTAATGAGAGAAAACAAGGTCGGAGGGGTAAGTGTTCTTAGAGTGTTCCAAAGACCTGGTATTACCCCGTGGGAAATGAAAGTTTGGACGAACTTTAAGTACAAATACTGTAATTCTTAGAGTAGGAAGAGTGTGTGACTTTCCTAATAGAGGGAAACAGGGGTGGTAAAGCTACAGACAAAAGTAAGGAAGTTATCATCAAAGTGTGAGGAAGGAGGCTGAGCTGCATCAGGGACATTCAGAGGCTTCTGGGAGCCAGGAGGATCCCATTTATTGACCCATGATAGTTACACAAGTGTTTGCCTTATTTGTTAAACTCTGTATACATGCTTTAACACTTGTGTGTGTGTGTGTGTGTGTGCGCGCGCAATATTTTACAATGGGAAATGATTGAAAAAATAACAACAATCACATACTTCTCCTGTTCACTGACACTTCATGTCCAGACCTTTCTACCTCAGCTCAATGTTCAGCAAATCAAAAACCCATGAATGAGTTCTCCAGAGACCATCTCATGCAGCCTTCTGTTTACAGACAAGTAAATTCTTACTATACCCAGTTTACGGATGAAGCAGCTAAAGTCTAATGAAGTTGATTGATTTATCCAAGGCCATAGTGATTTCATCCAGCAAATTATTTTTACTTTGACTTTTCAAAAAAAAAAAAAAAAGCAAATTCTATTTATAACTCACTTCTCCCCATACACTCCCTCCATATGTCACAAATTCATCTGGAAGATTTCCCAGTGTTGTCTGTTGCACTGAGATAGCCCCAGAACTCAGTCTGCATGCCCTGGACCTAACTATTCTGCCTATTTCAGAAGGACACGCTGGTGGCCAGAAAAGTGTGGGTGTCTGTAATTAACAGGGCTTTTTCAAGTCTCTCCCTTAATATTGATGCCATGATACAGTTCAGATGGTGCAAGAGCAGGGATTAGAAAAACAGGACACATAATCAAGCCTGGACTTGAGGGTGGCTTCCCAATGAGATGCTCGCCAAAAACAATGCCGCTAAACCACAAATCATGCATCACGCTTTGGGAAACGGCAACACACGGGGGGAGCAGTCACGGCCCCAGACCAAGGAAATCGGGAGGAAGCATCACCCAACCTGGGGGGATGGGCAGAGACAGTAAAGATGGAGAAGCACAGACAGCAGCAGCAGCTTAAGAAATAAACCTGCACAGAGTTTTTGGTATTTTTAAAAAAAGTTTATTTACTTATTTTGAGAGAGAGAGAAAGAGAGAGAGAGAGCACAAGCAAGGAAGGGACAGAGAGAGAGAGAGAGAGAGAGAGGGAGAATCCCACGCAGGCTCCACGCTGTCAGCACAGAGTCTGACATGGGGCTCGAACTCACAAACCGTGAGATCATGACTTGAGCTGAAACTAGATGCTTAACTCTGCGCCCCTGCACAGTTTTAAAGAAACCAATTTCATCTCAATACAAATAAATATTTAGAGAGCAATTTCATTTACTGCTAATCCTTTATACAATCGTCTAGCAGATAAAAACAACTGCCATAAAGCATAAGATTTTCAACACTAGTCACTGAAAACATAGGAACGTCACATTTGCCTCCGGGCACTGTCTGCTCTTCCCCGATCCCTCTCACTCTCAACTTTGCTATGCAAACACCGTCACTTCAACGAACGCTCTTACATGAGAACACTCTCTTCCTGGATGCCAGCAAGCTCGTGATAGCGTTTAAAAGTTGCACAGTCAAATCCCAGCCAGTAACTTTGGGAACCCTGCACTTCAAAAAGCTTGGCTGCTTTCATGGGAATGGTTCAGGTCACAGAGAGCCTTCGTGGATTTGTCTTCGGGCATAACCTAAAAACCACTATGGTGACCACAGAATGGAGCCTCTGAAGGCCCCTTATTTCTCAAACCACCTTGCCGGGAAAGAACCCAGAAGATGCAAAGAGGACATGTTCAGATGTAAGGAAGAGGGGGAGAAACAAGAGAAGAGAGAGGAAAAGATAGGAGTTAGGCTGCAGTAGAAAGAAAATGTCTTTAGTACATGCGGTGGGAAGGCCAAGAGGAACAGAGGGAGTGTGTGTGCGTCCACGAGGAACAGAGGGAGTGTGTCTGTGTCCACGAAGAACAGAGGGAGTGTGTGTGTTGCAACTGCCTCTCAACTTAAATACTCAGTTGAGTCTTAAAATTCATCCCTATGGCAAAGAGGGGCCATGAAAGGGTTTCCTGCCTTTCAACTCTGATTTTCTTGTCCTTTAGCACCCAGACCTGTTTTACAGGGATATCATGTAAAGTCTGAAGCATCTGTACACACGCACACATTATTTAAGACTGACTGAGGTCTTGGTTGCACTCCCTGCTTGGATTCAGAGCAGCGATAACTGTAATTACAAATGGTGAAAAACTGCAGCACCACCTCCCTTCTTTTTGTTTCAAAGCCCTCTCTCTGCAGACAAAAAGGAAATGATCCTCTACATCACTCTGGTCTCATCAGGTCGACCCATTTCACAGATGAGGAAACTCAGGCAGGACAGGCCTGCATTATCCATAGGTGAGGCAGGATTCCAAGGCTCCTGTTTCTCAACTACCAGCCCACAGACAACCATCTTGACCAAGACACTGGTATCTCCCTAAACACCCGGGACACACTTCCTCCCCCCTCCCCACCCCCCCACCATACCATACAGGGTATATTTCTTGGCTCCCTTTCAGGCTATGACTTTGGAGCAATAATGGAGAATAATGGAGACCAATTAAGCAGGTACATGAACGTCAGCAGGATGCTGCTCCTACTCAGTCCCAGCTAATTAAGATCTCTGCCACTTGGCAGGGAGCACACTTATCAGGGCACCCAGATCCATCCTCTGCCAAGGAAAACAGAAAAGTCTAGGGCTTTACAGACATCAGGCAGGGTCTAGGAGCCAAGAGGTCGGGCAAGCACAAACTGAATGTAATAATAATCACTTCCATGCACTCGTATGGAATTTATGCTTATGTGAGAGCTCTTCCCCATGCATTCTTTCTTTGCTCCTCCAGCCACGGTAACCTCTCCCACGGAGAGAGAAGAAAATGTGAGAGCTACCAAGAGAGAAGACCTCAGCTGACAATCCGTTCAATCCTCTTGTTTTCCAGAGTGAAAAGCCCCCAAGAGGGAAGGTTCTCACCCATGGACACAGCGTGGTGATGCCACCGCCAGGACCAGAATCAGACTTTTGAGGCCAGGCAATTTCCTGGATACAACTGTAGCTTCCACCCTGCATGCTGATCTGGGTTGGTAGTTGCTCTGTGCTTTCTTTTTGTAGTATACACGTGCTGCTGAAGCGAGCATTCTTTGTGTTTTCTTGGAGAGAAAAAATTTAAATACAAAAATATGCATAAATCTAGCAATCTGTCATATTCCCACCATCTAGAATTAACCAATGTTAACATTTCCTCCATTTTAACACTGAAGATCAATGTCTCATCCTCCACCCTCCCATTCTGTCCAGAAGCAACATCTACGTGTGTACTTCTAAGCCATATTCTCACACTACAGATCCATAAGTTGTAGTACTTTAACATAGATTGGCCAGCCTTTTCAAATTTGTCAACCTTCTGAGTTATTGGGGTTTTGGGGGGGAAGTATCTTTTCTAAAGAATTCTTTTTAACCCCAAGGGTCAAAAGATATTCTCCTGAATTATCTTCTAATAGTGTCAAAGTTTTGATTTTCACATTTAGGGCTAGCTGAAATTTATCTTTATTTATGCTATGAGATAAGGATCTAATATTTTTCTATGGAAAGCCAACTGTCTTGGCATGAGTCACTGAGGACTCAGCCTTTTGCAGTGGTGTATAAAACACCACTACCCATGCCAAAAGTTCATGGGGTATCTTAGGTCTGTTTTTCTGCTCTCTAATTCGTTTTCTTGATCTCCTTGTTCTTCTTAAAATTATTTTGCCAAAAGTATCAGATCTACTTATGTGCCCTACTATTCCAAATGAATTCCAGAAATGGTTGGTGTAGTTTCAAGAGAAATCCTATTGGAATTTTGATTAGAATTGTATTCAGTGAGATGCTTTTATGCTAATAAGCTCTCCCATCTGTGAACACATCATTGCCCATTTATTATATACTCTAATAACATTTTATGAATTTCTCCATCCAAGCCTTATCTATGTTTTATTTCATTTATTCCTAACTACCATACAGTTTAGTTGCTATTATGAACAATATCTTTTTTTCTATAGGTTACTGTTGTTACACAGAAATGCTATTGTTTTTTGTACATTGATGCTGTACCCTGCAACTATGTTTACCTCTTTTGTTATATATAATACTTTAGAAAATTCTTGAGTTTTGAAGGTATACCATCATATAATCTTCATATAACAAGAGCTTTGTCTCTTATTTTCCATCCTCACCTTTCATTTGTTTTTCTTATCTTGTTGCATTGGCTTGGTCCACCAGCACAATGTTGAACAGCAGTGGTGATCTCTAGTATCCTTTTTCTTATTTCTGATCTAATTGGCAATGCATGTGCATGTGCATATGTGTACGTACTTGACTTTACAGATATGATGGCTCATGTAGTAATGTTCTGAGAGTTCATGAAGAAATCAAAGGAGTCTGGTGATTAAAAAGTGAATTCTGGGGGCGCCTGGATGGCTCAGTTGGTTAAACATTCAACTCTTGGTTTCGGCTCAGGTCATGATCTCACGGTTCATGAGTTCAAGCCCTGCATGAGGTTCTGGGCTGACAGTGCAGAGCCTGCTTAGGATTTTCTCTCTCTGCCCCTCCCCACCCTCTCAAAAATAATTTAAAAACCCATTTTTTTATTCAAGTGAGTTCTGTCAGGGATTTGGGACTTGACTACCCTCTGAAAACTATTTGTCTTCTCCCTCCTTGTTTACCCCGTGTGAACGAGGATTTTTTTGGAGATTAACTGGCCCCTTAATGGCCCACTGACTTTTCCAGAAACAAAAGGACCTATTCCTTTGTGCAGAGCAGCAACTCCAGGGGGGAGGGGGCTGCTCACACAGCTCAGTTGGAGCGATGCCACACACATTCTGGCTTCTCAGCAAGAATGCAATTCCTGGGAATGTGGCCAGCACAGCCCCCCATAGCTGCACACACAAAGCCACCAGGAGCTCCGTTCAGTCCTGACAAGAAAACGCTGGTGGTGAGGAAGAGACAAACAGAACTGCGGCCCACGATTCCTTCTTAGGCTCAAGCTACTTCTCCCTTGGCCACTGAAGGGACCATTAGCTGCACTCCTGAGTCATTTCCCCACCTCTTAGCTCACTTGCCTGAGGTACACCGAGGAATGCGACCCTCTGAGGATGATGGTCGCCCCACCCCAACCCTCCTCAGCCTTGTCTGAGCAAACTGTCAGAAAGGAGTAAAACTGGGTAGTGTGCATCGGGGATGACCGCAGGCAGTGACCCACTCCTCAGCAGCAGGAAGCGCAAAGGCGGGAACACGCATAGTCAGTGAGAGAAGATGCTGCTTCTCTTGAAGCAGAGGACCTGCGTTCAAGTCTCAGCCCCACCATTTACTTGCAATATCATCACAGGCAACCTTTCGGGCTCTAAGTAGCTCATTTGCAAAATATAAACAGGCACGATGGTCTCAAGTCCTGTTGCAGCGTGGACCAGGGATAAGGGACAGTCTGCTTAGTCTCTGAAATGTCCAAAGCTCCTGAAGGAAGTTTGCACAAAGGCTGGAGACAGAAACATCCCTGAATGGATGGTGTGAAGGACCAGGGCAAAGCTGAGAAGACTGGGAATAAGCTGTTAGCTGGGCTCTGACAGGGAGACCCACAAAGCTGTCCCTTACAGTGTCATTAAATTGGCTTTACTGCTTAGCAGCCGCTCAGGATACAACCAGCCCAATGCAGAACAAAGCAGAGAGGAGACAGGCTGAACAGGACGGCTGGACTGGATCCCTCTGGGCCCATCTTCCCCTCCGCCTCTCCTGCAGCCCACCCCCCCCCCCCAGCCCCCATCCATACAGGGCCTCAGTCTTTTGAGTCTGTCTCCACTTTGAAGGGCAAGGGCAAATTCATCCACTCTGCTATTCCCACTGCCGATGCCCCAGTCAGCACTTTTGCCTCAATTATTCTTCTACCCCTTGCATCACTCCCCACCCCAAATAAAGCTCCAGAATTCGACAGAGCGGCTTCCTGAACAGCAGGTGGGGCACTTCCGTCCTCCGCTCAAAACCTTCAATGACCTGTCACTGCATCCAGACTTCTCAGAAAGGCATCTGCCCGAGCTGGGTTCATCTCCCAGCCTGTCTCCCTACAAGCCTCACCCGTCAGCCACGGACCACCTGCATTTCCCCAAGAACACCACGCGCCTTTTGCCCCTGGGCTTGGGTGCTCTTTTCTGTATCCAGCATGAACAATGTTTTATTCTTCTAGCCACGGCCCACAGTGCCTTTAACATAGGGAGTTTCCAGAAAGCAACACTGAGGCTAAGCAACAGGTATGACCCTTGAAAACAAACTCTGTGTGGAGAAAAAGAAGCCAGACACAGAAAGCCACATACTGATGATTCCAGGCGGATGAAATATCCATAATGGACAAACTTATCAGGACAGAAAGCAGATCAGGGACTGGGGGAGGAAGGAGCAAGTGCTCAGTGGGCACGGGGTCTTCTGTGTGGGCAAGAAAAGTGTTCTGGAACTAGAGAGTGGTGACGGGGCATGACCTTCGTAATTTACCTGATGACACTGAACTGTGTACTTTAAAATGGTAAGTGGTGGGGCTCCTGGGTGGCTCTGTTGGTTGAGCATCTGACTTCGGCTCAGGTCATGATCTCACGGTTCGTGAGCCCCACACAGGGCTCTGTGCTGACAGCTCAGAGCCTGGAGCCTGCTTCGTTCGGATTCTGTGTCTCCCTCTCTCTCTGCCTCTCCCCCACTTGCACTGTGTCTCTCTCTCTCAAAAATAAACAAACATTAAAAAATTTTTTTCAAATAATAAATAAAAATAAATAAAATGGTAAGTGTTATGCTCTGGGTATTTTACCACACCACATACACAAACTGAGGCTGAGAAGATACAAATAATTACTCCAGACCACACCGCTAGTAAGTGATTATAAGAGTTGATTGTAAGAGCCCAGTGTTTCACTGCAATGTTAAGAGTCAACACAGAGTTGGGGCGCTTGGGTGGCTCAGTCGGTTGAGCGTCTAACTCTTGATTTTGGCCCAGCGCATGATCTCGTGGTTCGTGGGATCAAGCCCCACATCGGTCTCTGCACTGATGGCGTGGAGACTGCTTGGGATTCTCTCTCCCTGCCACCACTCATTCTCTCTCTCTCCCCCCCCCCCACCCCTCTCAAAATAAATAAACATTTTAAAAAATGGAGAGCTATCCCTCTCCATCTCTATAACCAGCCCAAGTCCCGTGCATTCTCCCTGATGCCTCCACTGAGTGATCCAGGCCTTGGTAGCCCTTGGTTCCAGAAACGCCCATGGCGCACAGCCCGGCATAAAATCATGCGTGTCCTGTGTTGTTCTCTGGTGGCCTCCTGCATTCTGGTCTTTGCCTTGGCAGCTGGACTGCGAGCTCTCTGAGGTTGGCAGGTCCTGTCGTCCAGCCTTCTTCCCTTGGAGCTCCTTCCCCTGGGGCTCCTTCCCCTGGGGCTTACTGCCTTCACTGGTGTGGTGGAAACTGAAAGGCATGCTGCATCCTGGTTATATTTTTCACAGTTTTAACTTGCATCTTGGCTGAAAAGTTCCCACATTGTTTGGCTCAGCAAAACCTCACAGAGTCTCCTTTTGGCATGGATTCAATCTCAGGAAATGCCTTTCTGTCACAGAACTACAAAGCCAACTGGTACCTACTGTTTTCTCATTGATGGGGAGAAAGTTAACACCACTTTATCCACTCACTCATGAGAGAAAGTTTCATTTCTTTCCCTCGAATGCTGCACGAATATTATAGGCTGCAATTTAATAGAGCAAGCCAATAAACGAAAACATGTGACATAATGGCTTAGAGTTCACACGTGGCAACTAAAAAACACGTTTTATTACTTCACTTAAAAAAATTTTTTTTTTTTATTTTTGGTATATTTAGGAACCAGCAAGGGAGACCAAGGCTAGCATTGGGTCCACCACTTACTTATGACCTTGGCCAAATCCCTTGACTCCTCAGAGGCAGTTTTCTTATCCACAAAATGGGAATAGAAAGTGCCTTCCCATGAGCTAGAGAGAAGGGATGGAAGACACCACTGAGATACCAAATGGGAAGAGCTCGGTGAAGACAGAGTCTGGAATGTCAGGCATCTGGGGCAATAGGTCTCTGAGTCCAGAGGGGAAGGAGGGACGTGAATG